AGAAGCAGTAGTAGTTTAGAAGGTCTTACTTGAATGCACATCGTACAATAACCGCATCGTCCTTTTTTGTTTTACAAAGATGCCTCCAATGCCAACTGTGTGACCAACAGTGCCGGTGAAGAAGTCTGCAGTTGCAAGCCAGGATTTACTGGGGCCGGCTACACCTGCTCTGACATCAACGAGTGTGCCGAAACACCGAGGCGCTGCCATCAACAAGCCGCCTGCACCAACACACCTGGATCCTTCCAGTGCACCTGTAACCAAGGGTACCAAGGAGACGGAATCATCTGCAGAAGTAAGTCAAGGAAGCTTCGTTTCTAGTCGGGACTGTCTTTTGTACATTAATGCGTTATCATCGCCACTTGCTTTTTGCCTCTACCAGGCTCCGGGAAGCGACTGGAAAGAGTAGAAATTGGCCAAATAGACACATGATATGCCGGGAGAGTTGCCGCTCAACTGTTCTCTTGGGGCGAACAAATAAATTAAACTCTCATGACATATATCTGTCTCTTTGGCCAATGTATACTCTTTCCAGTCGTTTCCGGAAGCCTGGTAACTTACTTGGTCTACCATGATGATTTTCCTTGCCAATCCACATTTTTCATCACGTATCAAAAATAATTGATTTTCCTTTGGCAGGTTCAGCAAGTGTTGCATGTACTGGAAGCAACCTGAGCAAACAGCGATATCAGATAGTCCTGGACAATGTCACGCTGACACAGGGACTACAGGACAGGACGTCAGTAGAGTACAGAACCAAGATAGCCGAGATAGAGTCACTGGTAAGTACAGGTCAATGTACCGTTAAAGTCTCTTTCAAACATTCATCCCACCACACTTATCGAAAAGAGGAGGGGTCCTTCTCGGTGTGAGTGCTCGACTACTCGGAACCAAGAGGCCCTGACATGCCACTGATCTTGTGCCCTTGGGAAAGGCACTTAACACGATTTTTCTCACTTCACTCAGGTGAAAATGAGTATCATATTCTCTCCTGTGTTGATGGCGGCATTAATATAAGTTGAACCACATTAATATAAGTTGAACCAATCAGTTGTAAGTAAACAATTACTACAATTCCACAGCTCGAGCCTATAATCCGACGAACAAAGCACGGGGGCAAATTCCAGAGCGTCGTGGTCCAAGAACTGAAGATCGTTCAAGACGAAGTAGTGGCTGTGTACGACGTGTGTCTAGAGAACGTCAACACGGTGCACGGGCTGGACATACAGAACGAGATAAGGGGAGCGAACAGCGTCAGTAACGCTCTCGGGGTGAACCTACAGACCGTCTGTTTTGTGGACTCAAACAACGCCGCCGAGTGTCCCACAAGTCAGGAAGTTAGACAAGGCGGACAATCAGGTGACTACAATTAGATGAGATTTTTTTATTGAAAGACAACCAAATAGAAATAGTGAAGGCCTGGTGATGATACGATGGTTGCACCTTACATGTATATAGTGCCATAAGGCCTGGTCATTTCCTATAACCGCCTCTTCGCTAGCACTCCCTCGGAGGTTCGCTGCACTCACTCGGGGGTTCAATCTGTGGTTATGGGAAATGACCAGGCCTTATGACACTACGTACACCTCGGGACGGGTCATTATATTAAGCCTTAACTGATATACGAACAGTTTACTCGTACGTGGTTTCAAAATAGGGCCTGTCTATGCTATGCCTAAACAGTGTTGTATATCACCAAAGGACGTTACCTTATACCGGGTGTTGTACTGAAATCGTGAATAGAAAATAAGAACATACGTTTTAGACATGGTTAAAAAGTAAAGTTGCTCACTTTGCAACATCTTTAATTTCAGGGTTGAGTAGCGCCACGGCCCTTGCACTAGGCATTGCGTTAGCTGCCCTGTGTCTTCTACTTCTGATAGCCATTTGTTGCTGGACGAGACGTCACAGCAAATCCTAGTAAGTATTACCAAGTTACCGTGCCAAGTTACCGTTTATGTTATCAAAGCTATAACTCCGACTATAGTCTATAGACTGTCGCTTTTGAGGAATCTTTTGAAATATGTCAGTGGTAAGAACAGACGTATGTTTTTGATTTCTGGAATATTATCGTATCGTTACAATTAGTGTTGTTAAGGGTACTGTTTTTCTTATCATTGTTTTGTTAACCATCCAATTGCATGACATTCCACAGTATTCTTTGTATAGTAATATATTAGTATATATATCATTATTAGTCGTATAGTTGTATTCTCACCTTGAATTCTCACCTTGAAGATCAGCCAGTAGGTACCATCTAGGGTAATGAGGCTGGCCTAGCTTTGGCGGTAGTGGCAGTCAGTAGCTAAAGTTATACTGGAACTGGTCCGGATGATCCTTCCACTCGATCGCCAGTCTTGCTTTAAACTGGTTCACAGTACTTCTGGATACAGTACTCTCTGACAATCTATTCCAGGCTGGAATCGCTCGTGTGTAGAAAAAGTTTGACCTCTGTCCTTTTGCCAGTTGGACCTGGTACTTGTATTGGTGACCCCTAGTGTTTGTGGCACTGCTGTGTGTGAGTGTCGTTCTGTTGCACAGCTTGCACTGGTTTATATATAGTATATATATTAGTAGTAGTCGTATAGGGTTTAATTGTCCGGATCGAGCCGAATAGATTGGCTTTGATTCGGTCAACTTTATTACAAGAATACAGGCACAAATATGGTTTCACAGGATTATTCCATTGTTCTGCCCACAGTGGTGAGAATCAGTCAGTTGGCTCCGCGCCGTCCGTCTACGCGTCTACCTACCACCCCCCTCCCTCACTCTACCGCGTGAGTATTGTGTATATATGCATATCGTGTTCATATGGTGTTTGATTCAGTATGCTTTTCAAGACAGAATTATCCTCTCATGATCTATCGTTAACTGCTACCAAGAAAAGCACAGAGTCTGATTTGGTTAAAAACTGCATATCTGTACAAAAATGTAGTTAAGAACGAATCTATCTATCTATAGATCTAGATCTATCTATATATTTATAGTATCTGTCTCTATAGGTATCGTGTCAAGGAGTACTAGATAACTGGTCGAAGACTATTACTGCAGAATGGTGTGATAACTGTATGATAACTTCAAGTGTCTAACACTGTTACCTGATTATCCCTCTTTCTGACAACACTTCCTTAGGCGATGACATATACTATTAGATTATTCAGCTATCCATTCAGAAATAAGAGCACACATTCTGAAACATCTAAATAATAATTTCAATATAATAATAGTATATCTTGATCACTTTATATGCGTTTCCCCCACAGACACGAGAGCACCTGTACCCTACCCCGTCTGGACCTACAGTCTGGCCAACTGTGACGTCAGAAAGTATTCCCTCCACATTCCCACCTGGGTCTTCTTACTATTAATGTCGTAAGCTATTTTATTTTAGTGGCTAAGTAATAACCTACTAGTATACTCTGATAAAATAAATTTTGTTTATGAACTGTCTTGGTAAGTATAGAAAGAAATGTTGCAATCTGTTACTAATTAACAGTAGTATATAGTTACAAATTCTACGTGGAAATTTGCTATCAAAGATGAATGTATGATAATCATACTCATCGCTCGTAAAATGTATATGATGTTAAGATTTCAGATTATCATAATTTTATACTATATGCTGTAAAATAATATATTCCGTAACAATAAAAGTAATGGTCGCTCTACATGAAGTTTTGAAATATCATAATGACAATTTTTAAGATACAACCATTATCATAATTTTATTACTTCCATCATCATCATCATCATACCAGGTTATCAATGTATAAACCCGGTGCAATGGAATAATTTTCTTAACTTAAGATTGGTAGCATCATACTTTTTATGTATGTGTGGTGATATGAATGTTGTTCCAACAATATTGCAAATGACATAAGAAGGATAGGACGGCAGCACTCCCAAAGATATATCATTACATTATTTATATCCTATTATATTTGAAAATTGTTTATATGATCATGATGATCATAATGATGGCTGAAACATGAAGCAAACAAACGCGATAACTTATAACTTGTGTGTTCCACGGACCTATAACGTAACGTCAGACATAGAGCTTGGTTTACCTAATAGAGATGTGGGGGAAACTTCTTTGATGTGTTCTTGGGACATTCCTCTGATCTTGCTGTAGATACTTAAGATTGTTAATTAAGGAGTACTATTACTGAGCAAGTGAGCTGTGAATAAAATGCATTCTGACTGAATTTCTGCATCCGACTTGAAGTCATGTTTATTCTACGCCTAAGGAGAGACAGAAAACCTCGTCTATCATTCAAAGCAATCTCGCTACGATTCATTAACTCAGAGATTTGATTAACCAGATTACTAAGTCATATTGACTAACATTTTACCATAGTGTTGTGGAAAACAGCACTTACAATATAAAGGCTTTTACCTATTACACTTGATGTGTACTGAAACGCCTCATTGGGCATGAAGCAAACAGGTCTACACTAACGCACCTGTCGTGATCTGTCTTTTCCCCGCCAGGCTTGTTACTGTTACGTCTGGCTGGAGAAAAGACGGGCGAAGCTTTGAGTACTTAGTAAATATCACGAGATGGTACGAGTCAGGGACGGACATTCATGCTGACAAAGGGGCTTTTCCGAGCTACACAAAAGAGCAGCTAGGCCCTTCGATGTGACGTGATGTCACACTGCCCATACAATTCTAATCTACCTGTCACACATTCACGACTTTACCCCAGATTCGTTCCCGTACACCAGCCGACCAGGTCCGACCAGGGCGTTCGGGTAGTGTTCGGGAGGCCAAATTCGTGAGTGTGTGACAGGGTCTAAAAGGCCTTTTCCGAACAACACAAAAGAGCAGCTACGGTATGCCCCTCACTGTCTTCTAATGTCACCACGTACTCCCACGCATTCCTTCTTAAACAGATTGTACATTTCCTCCCAGTTTCACAGAAAATCATGTTCAGCTGAACTCAACACATATGACAGAAAACGTATTATTTCATAAATGAATAACAACAGTTTCATTTTTCAACACGTGGCAACAGGTAATTTTTTACATATCTTTTCACACTTTATTTGCGAAACAGTTGTTTCATGTCTCTAGCTTATATGAGTGTATGTGAACTTACACTAAGCATAATGACATTCTTTAAAAGTTCATTTCACTACTATAATGAGTGATACCTAATGGCATATGAACAAGACACAGGGACGTTTATCTAAAAGTAGATTAAAAATATACTAGTATTGCACATAATTACGTGTTCCTCTTAATATGTACATCTCGAATATATAAAGATTCTGGATTTAAACCTTATATATAGATTTTTAACCTATATCTATTAAGTTACTACCATGAAGACTTTTTGGGACTTAAAACCATCCAGCCGTTGTCTCTTTTGCTCTCTCTCTCTCTCTTAACAAATGAGATTTGGCGAAATAGTGGTATATCAGTTTAGACATAAAACTGAGAATAAAATAATATAAATGTCACTACCGATATATTCTCATCGTGCTACCATAGAAGTTCTTTCTGGCAGACAAAGGCAAACGTTTGTTCACAGTCGTACGGTACCCACTCTAGATTGGTTAATCTGGACAACACTACGCAGTCTGTGTCCTGTCGGTTTGGGTAAGACTCCGAGAACATTGAAAATCCACCCAATGCCTCTCCATCACTCCACACGAAACTATTTTCTTCCTTTATGTCATCTAAGCCGACCCAGTAGCTCACGGCGAAGTCTGTCTTGAGGAGGTAGTTGTGCTTTGCTCGGTTCTTGTCGGTGACGAGTTTGCCTCCGTCTGATTCGCAGGTAGTCGCAGCCTTGTCGTAAGACAGGGGGGTTCTGACGAGTCTGAAGCACAGCTCGGCAAACTGACCGTCGTTGTAGCCTTCTGGACACCGTGCTCTGTTTGTAGGCAGGCCTGTGTGTAAAATGATGAAACATATCAACAAACGTGTACATAAAAAGTTATATCTTAACCCTTGTCCTGCTGGCATTCCTGGCACAATATTTTTCAATAATTTCATGTCTTAATTAGATCATAGACCCGCAAATTTTTTTGCCCTGCAGTGGCATAGTTACTTCCGCATTCGTTGCGTTTCGCTGCGGTGTGATGTGTTGCAGGAGAAATACCCCCAAATCGTACCTATACAGGGTGCTATATAGATGGTACTGTATGTGCTGCGCGACATATGTTGCGCACAGCAGGACAAGGGTTAAAGGGGCATTGCGTAACATTTTTGCACCCAAAAATGGCAATATTCTATTTATAAAGAAATATTGGTGTGATTGTAAATTATTGCCACTTTTTTGCAATTATCTGACATGTTTATATTTATGGTTGGCGCTATACGAGCCCACACGAGGCGAACTATGGTTGAAATGACCAGAAAATTCACTTTTTGTACTGTCCAAGTATTACATGATACAGCTTTAACGTAATTCCTCCAACTTGAAGTGGTAGCAATCCGTTCTATTCTGTCCCGCTATTGAACTGTCACCGCCCCCTTCATAAAGCTATGTGTTCCCACCGTTACTCTATGTAGTAAAGTTGAGAAAAATGCCCAAATCTTACCGTTTACGGTGTTCCAAATTACTGCAAATATCGTGATATAGGCGGCGACTAGTTGAGGCATGTTGTTGTCTATCTTCTTCGGCGGTAGCGACATAATGAGGGCGACTATGTCTGGTGCCGCTGTGCTGAATGAATGAGCAGTGGACACAGTAAGAAATGTGAGTCTTCCCCACACACGGGCCCGCCCAGCGACATGCGTTTGTTGTGTACACATGTACGTCACTTCGGTGTCACTGTTTACGTAAATAGTGTGTGTAGTTCCCGTCTTTTGACCCAAGAGAAAGACGCAGGGCGTTTAGGCAGGTGTTTTGGGTTTACGTCATATCCGGTTGATTAGTCACTGGAAAAGCCGGAATATCTGCATTGTCGTTGTTCTAGTTTCACTGACTGTTAGTAATTCCTTTCCTCGAAATGTGTGGCAGAATGCCAGACACCCCGTTCAGAATGTGCCGAATCTCGTGCAGAAGGTGTCAAATATTTTCAAGGATGTATCGAATCTCGTCCAGAATATGACAAATCTCGTCCCAAACGTGACAAATCTCGTCCAGAAAGTGTCAAATCTCGTCCCGAACGTGACAAATCTCGTCAAAAATATGACAATCTCGCACAGAACGTGACAAATTTCATCCAGAATGGGAATAATCTCGCTTAGAATGGGAAAAATCTCACCCAGAATGAGAAAAAACTCATCCAGAACGTGAAAAATCTGGAAGGTCACTGACCCAATCTCAAAATTCGCTGGGTGCCCAGCCAACCTTGTCGGGCTAACTGACGTCATACACACCACCACAAAACATGTGTTTATCCCTTCTGAAGGTTTCTAAATTATGCTTAGGTCACAATTCAAGAAAGGGGCCCGTTCGGCGCGTGTTCGGCGTGTTTTTTGGCACTACCGAACGGGACCTGGACGGAGACCGGCGGGCTTCCCGACGGCTGCCGGCCTATTTTTGGCCCCGCGCGGTCGCCGAATCGATTTTAACTCAGAGTTAAAAACACTTCGGGCCCCGTTCGGCGAAATACGCCGAAGCGACGCCGTAACCTCACTGCCCGGGACCCGTCGGGCGGCCGAACAGGCACCTGCCTAAGATTATGACGTCACATGTGCTGATCAGTGCATCAGATGGTCAGGAAAAGGGGGTTAAAGGGAGCATATATAAACTCCTGCCTCAGACTACGTCGCACAGTTCACCACGTGTGTGTTACATCGTGTACTTGTGTGTGTTACAACTTGTATTTGTGTGTCAGAATGTCGAAGGGCAAGGGAAAACAGCCGGCACGGCTCTCTTGCCAACTTCATAAAACAGATCATAACAGGAATAGAATGTGTCTGACATTATCTCTTGTTACATCATATGCCTTCGTAATAAAATGGAATCAGAAGTTATTGGCATTTATTTTCAGTCCAAATTTCAACAGAAGTAACGATATTCAGTGGTTTTATGGCTCAATAGCAAGGAACTGCCACGGCACACTTCCTGCGTCACTGCTGAAGTACTTCCTGCGTCACAGTTGAAGTACTTTCGAAAGTAGGCCCTCGGTTACTTTTGCGACGCACCAGTTCTGCCTGTCTCTCTTCTTCAGCTACCAATGCCAGAAGACCTACATGTAGGTTGTCACCAATCTCAATCTCAGACGGGCTTGTAAGTTGTTTGCAGGTTGCACTGAACGCTGCATCGCCAACTTCAGTCTACTCTTTACTTGACGTGTACTCTTTACTTGAAGTGAACGGTAGCAGGCAGTGCAGCGCTTATATATGTACCCGCTCAAAAACACGAGAGGAGCCCGTCGGGATCCCGCCAGGAACCCACCAGGGACCTGACAGCTGCCCGGCCGAACTGTAAGAGCCGGTCGGCACCCTACCACACGCCGCACGGGTCAAGACGGGCGACCGACCGGGCACCGGACGGGTCCCTGACAGAAACCGGCCGCAAAAGTTTATGAATATTAATGAGAGCCGCCGGCCGGAGCACAAGCAGGCCCCGACAGGGAGCCGTAAAGGAACATTTAATTGTGACCCTGACAGTACGGCGCACGCTCGGCGTCATGACGCCGGCCGGCGTCTACGCCGAGGACATGCCGAACGGGCGCCGTTTCAAATGTGACCTAAGCATAAGACCCATTCACATTTCTAATAGACTATCGTCATTTTCACAGGGCGTATTGCAAGGTCGACGTCATTTGAAATAATCTATGGTTCATAATTACTGATTTTTCTTTTCTACTGGGAGATAACAGTTAACAGGTGTGACATTTGCCGGTACGTTTTGTCCGTACTACCCTAACTAAAGACTAGATATGATGGGAGAGTGGTGCGGTCTATTGTTTTAGGTGCCATGAGGAGATGGTTATGTGTAATTGTGAATCAGTTATAGATCAAATTGAACAGCTTGAAAATGGATGTACATGAAGTTAGTTTTTACGATTTTCTGTGAGACCGGGGGTAGGTGATGTATAGGTCCCATTACAAATTTTACCAGCATTATATTTAACATTGGTTGACGTAAAGAGTTAGTTAGCCTCTATCAGGCTTCGGGAGACGGCTAGAAAGAGTAGAAATCGGTAGAATAGAGAGGTAACATGTCGAGGGAGTTGTTCCGCTAGAGAGTACATTTTGCCGCACCCGGTATAGTAAGTCACAAATCTCACGATGCCTGTTTGCTGGGTGTGGTGCATGGGACAACCACTGAATTACGTTCGACATGGGACGTACCACAAAATACAATGTCGAGGGTGCGGGCATCCTTTTAAATCTGTAACTTCAAAGGAATTTCAACATTCCATTCTCCAGTTCTACATGTAATGTTTCTCTTCCTTTGATACAACCAGCAGAAATCTGTCATCATTGGCCCTCCCTTTGACACATCCTGACACACCTAGCTCACCTTGCTTTGAAATCACTCGGGTGAACTGGACTGTGGGCTCCATTGTTAACTCACTGCTTAGTCGTATACTCTTCACATATTTTCACTGACGAGTCAACTGTACATGTTATCAGGACCAACAGAATGTTTATTATGCAAAGTAAGGCCTAAACTGCAACTACTAAAAACTATTGCAATGCCCTACAATATTCAAATATGCCCCCCCCCCCCCACACACACACACTGTCGTGTATACTGGAACTGAGATAACCATTATTATCTTACCCGTTATTCGTACACACATATTTTCACTATCTATTCAACTTTTCGGAATGTTAATTATACAACGTAAGGCTTGAATTTCAATTCCTAATAGCATCTTGCCCTATAATAATTTCGAACAATCTCCCCATATAGGTTATATTTAAACTGTGAGAACCATACTACTTCGTCGTATACTGGTACTCGTTACATATTTTCACTGCTGAGTCAACTGTACATGTTTTCAGGGCCAACAGAATGTTTATTACACAAAGTAAGGCCTAAAAATATGACGTACAATATTTACCTTCAAACATGCCCCCCTCCCCACTTATTGAAAAAAATGCCCCCTCCCCACCTATTGATTATTTTGAGTGCACATGCCCCCCTCCCCACCTATTGATTACCAGTATATTTGAGTGCACATGCTCCCCTCCCCACCTATTTATTATATTTGATTGCACATGCGGCGTGACACACTCTATCCAGGTGTATCAAATACATGAGTGTTACGCGCTGTCCCAGCCTGACACGGGAGTTATTATTTGTGCTAATTAGAGTTAACAATGGGTGTTACCCTGGGCCATAGCAAAGGTCACATTTCACAGACGCATGACCCCAGCGATGGCAAAAGTTCGAAGCCGCTTTTGAAGTTATGACATGCCTTTCAAGATGTCCAATTAACCGTTAATGTGCTCATACGGGTTTAAATATTTAACAAAAAATCAACAGTCATGTGGGCATTGTAAAAATTTAGGGTGGAAAAGAGCAATGAAATCAATCTTAATTCTATGAATATTTTTCCAATGAGATTTTTATAAGTCTGCTTGATAATATAAACACACTCCCCCCATTTGACCTTGGAAAGTTCCCTTTAAAATTTGTAAACAACGACACCAGATGAAGGTATGAAAAGGTGACAATTGGTAGCTTGTATAGAATCGAAATTTTGTTTGTAAGAATGAAATCCATACGTGCAAAATTAGGATGAATGTTGTAAGAAATCAAAATTTCTCTTGTCACAACAACATACACAAAAATAATCAAGGACAAACGCCTGCCTGACAAAATAAGGGCTGACGGACGCCCTCACCTGTACACGACCTTTCTGACATTTGCGGTAATTTGACGGATTTGTTCTTTTCGCGTAGAGTCAAATCACATTTTGATAGACTAAATATGTTTTGCCCCTGTCACTCATTCACGAATTTGGCCTACCGAACGCTAGCCGACCGACCGCCAACCATGGGTAGGAGGTGGGTCGGCTGCCATTCGGCTACAGTTCGGCTGACCCAGCCGAATGTTGCAAAATGATTAAAACATTCGTGAGGCGTTCGGGAGGTTCAATCAAAGTTGGCTGGTTTTCGATCGTAAGCCAACATAACACCTGCAAACCATCCTGGAGTACGCCAGCAGTGTTCGGGGCATGTTCCGAGATCGAATTTGACTCCAATTTAACCCAAATGCGTTTTGAGTCATATACAAAAGGTAGTCGTGGCCTAAATCTTGTCAGAGTCCTCCCGAGTTAACACCAGCCGACCTGTTTGGGAGCGAATTCGTAGGAAGTTCGTATATGTGTGACAGGTTCTTTAGGAACATACGGAGATCTTCAAACCTTTGTTTACACAGAGACCAAGAGACCGTCACCACTGGCACGGAAGCTACACATAAAAGCACAATTCCAGACATGCTTTTCAGTTTTTTTATTTAAATCTAAATTTTACAAAATTTCCTTCATTCTTTCACCAATTTTTACATCGTTATATCATTTCCACAATTGTATGTTTCATTCAAACTTTATAGCGGTTAAGATAGGTATTGCAATTGGAGCTACTTAAATACATAAACATAATTATATATTATATAGTAATTGATGCTATTCTAACATTTGTATGTAAAATCTTTGGTTTCAGTACAGAGGTATCTACAAGAGAGTTTACGTTAATATTGTCTCATTGTAACTACCAACGCCAGCTTTTGGGTAAATTTACAGCTAAAATCCAGTACTTTATACAACAACAACTACAGTTGTTTCCTCTTACCATTCTTGATAAAATTACTGGATACAACTTTATAACAATACTAATACCGAAATAGTCTAAAATAGCTGCCTACGTTTTGTACCATTACCTCTTATGTATCATAGAAATAACGTAATTTTATTACTGATTGAGTATTAATATGTTATGTTAATATGATATTATGAAATCATAATTCTATGGCCCTAACCAGCATTGAAAAGGACGGACTAAACAAGGGATAAAAACCAATTCCCTAGACGCATCTAGAGGCTTATAAGTATCAATCTATAAAATAAAAACTATCATGAAACTTTTCTTATATCATACACAATCCCTCTCAAAAATAGTTGAAAAAGAGGTTTCATCAATATGATATAGTAGTACCATTTTTCTACTTCGAAATGTCATTAGTGGTAAAATATACGACCTATAGTACCTGTCATGTTTGACATCTTATTTTGTGATTTTGATTCAAGAATAGAATGTCTTTTTGTGGAATAATTCAAGTCCATCTGGTTTCTAATCGTTTTGATATAAAGTTGACAGCCTTTCTTACTCGTACGTCTTATTTCCACAAAGTCATATAGCATATATGTTTAAAGTTAAACGTTTCGCTCCAACAAACAGAATGGTTCTCACCTACGTACATCCAGTCATTCTCCTTATTCCACCTAGTTCTAAATGAGAACAATTCTTTGTGTTGGAACAAAAGTTTTAACCTTAAAGGCATCCAGCGCAATTTAAGGCCACAAAACTAAACTGTTTTTTCAAAGTCAATTTTCTTTTCTTTGCGGTAAGTTGAATCAATCGATTTGTTTTTTTGTGAAGCAAAAATGTCGATTATAGAAAACGCGTACGGCTGCTTGTTTTGTATCTTATGCTCCCACACACATTGCTCCCACATTGATTTTCATTTACTTCATCTGGTAGCTGATTTGCATGCTATTCAAGTTTTGATCGTCGTCGGAAAAGTAGGAGACCGACTGAGCGTCCCTTTCTTCTGGGACTTCTGGGATCATGTAGTCATCGGGGGGACCCAGGGCCAGGGGTGCTGCGGGGACGTATGTCGATGGGAAGGACGGTAGGCGAGGGCGAGGGTACACCGCCGCAGAAAGAGACGGTCTCCGCTGACCAGGATAAGCCGCCATGGTGAGGGACGGTTTTCGTGGAATAGAATATGTTGTTGATGCGGCTGATAGTTTTCGTGGATTGGAGAAGGTTGCTGGTACAATGCTTTGTCTTCGCAGACTGGAATGGCGACGGGTTTCCAGATACGCAGGCATTGGCGCTGGCTGCAGTTTTAAGAAGAACTTTATTGCACGACAATTGTACAAGGTACAACGCATGGCAACAACTACTGAACATATTACAAAAAGAAAGGACATAGAATGAAAACTAACATCATAATTACTGAACATCAATAGATAATACTGTGTACAATCAAGTAGGGATAAGATACGTGTAAATCATGAAAGTAGTCTAGAAAGGTTGCAAACACAATATATACGAAACCATAAATATAAATTCTATTCACTCATCATTCAACATGCAGAGCTAAAACAATGATGATGAAAAGATTCATTAAAATCGATGGGAACCATAGAACCACATGGCAAGAAGGGATAAACTTGATTACAGCATGCATGTTGGTATAAGTGGAGGTCTCGAGGTATACAGAGTCAACCTTTAAAACGTATTTGTGATTAGTGTCTGTTAGGTCTGCAAGAAACGTGGTTTGACTAGTAAAAAGTTTTTACTGACCCATTTCGTGTTAGTGAAGGATTTCACATTTGTAATCATTATGATTTGTAATTAGATTTCCCAGAGCCCAACTGGGTTAGAGGAACACCCGTCACACATTCACGAATTCGGCCTTGGAGTCGAATGTTTCAAAATGTTTAAAACATTAGAGGGGTGGTCGAGAGGTTCGACCATGATGGGCTGGTATTCAGCTTTACAAAGTCAGCAGAACACCATCCAACCATTCGGGCGTGTTCGGTGGTAAATTTGACTCAAATTGATCTCAAATTCGTTTCGATCCGTATAGAAAGGTAGTGACGTGGTCTAAATTTGGCCAGAGTGCTCCAGAACGTCAGCCGAACCATGTCTGCTGGTGTTCGGGGGGATATCGTGAATGTGTGACAGAGGATTTGTTAGGATGATGTTATGGAGCCAAATGGAATCAGAGTGGTTACCAGGGTGGTCACAGTAGGCCAGACTGTCAGAGTGGTCGGTGCAGTCGGTACCACTGGAATCGGGTCGTCTTGTGTCTAACAAGATCACCCATCATACTATGTTATTCACTTCTTTTTGTTACACAATTTCTCATTAAATGTGTTGAAGGTAAGTCAATTGTGTAATAAATTGTGTATAATTGCAATGTATAAATATGTTCTACATTCAGTTTACAAGTTGCTGATATTTCATGTTTAAGATGATTTTTTATACTGGTTATTGACTCCAACTTATTCATGAAGTAAGATATTATTTTGATGTGGTGGTTCTTCTTTTGTATAATGTTTAAAATGGGAACGTTCCAAGACAATACAAGAGTCCTAAAAATTTGTGAATACATGTTCATTGGATTTACTTACCATTTGATAGAATGGACCGTGGATGGATGGAGGGTAGTCGAACTCTGACTTGTCATCATAATACCTGTCAAATAAAAAAAGGACTAAAATCAGTTTTATTGCAACATGGCAATGTGGTGATGGCATAGTTTTTTAAACTTATTTTTAACTTGCCACCAACACAGAGTACTCATTTTCACCTGAGCGAAGTGAGGGAAGTCGTGTAAAGTGCCTTTCTCAAGGCCATAACATCGGTGACAGGGTTCGAACCCGTGACCTCTTGGTTTCGAGTTGAACACTCTACCGTTACACCACATACATGACCCCACACAATTCAGTAACGTTGCTTTTGGATACTGACTTTTTGTTTCTGTGATGTCTCCAGGCGCAGCACAGAGCAAGTAACAGCAGCAGGAGCAGCAGGGCCAGGGACACCCACAGGGCGATAGCTGTACTGGCGTTCAGACCTGCAGTCAAGGCAAATCAAGTTTAATGAAAAAGGCCTGGTAAGCCGAGCCTAGATACTACCATTCTGGTTAGCAACTATGAAAAAACTGTTCTAGTGTCAGTCTTTGTCGTTGTAAAGCCATATTGCACATTGCAGAAGGAGTTCCTAAACCTTCTTGATTAGTCGAGTGGCAGAATGATACTCAAGACTTAAAAAGACATAATGTTTGTCGTGCTCGGATGTCTATCATTCAAGATGGATTCACGAAAGATAAGGCACGGCTCTAAGGGCTGACTCCATCTTTATTGTTTGTTCTTCTGTCGTGCTATGCGGAGTGATCTGTAGAACGGTGCACTGTGTTGTCGCCAAGTAGTGCGGTGTGGGCAAGGGCCCTATGGTGAAATCATTATGCCTGATGAGACAGTGTAATAGATAAGAGATCATGTAACAACTTTCTTAGCTGAATATTCTAATTACCTGATGAGCCCCCATTGACTGAGGCAGCTGTGGGACAGTTACTGTCGTCTGACTCTATATAGCAGACTGTCCGCATGTTGATGCCGAGATAGTTCCCCACGCTGCTGGCAGCCCTCACTTCGTTCTGCATGTCCATACCGTGCACGGTGTTGGCGTCTTCCAGACACACATCATACACGGCCACTACTTCGTTTTTCACCACCTTCAGTTTTGTGACGACGACGTTCTTCACTTTCTTTGAGTGTTGTGTCTTCTTCATCATGGCCAACATCTGGTGAAACATTTGAAGACACCCAACACAGTTAATAAAGATATAACATATAAATATCTATACATCTCCCTCTCTATCTATCTCTATCTCTCCCTCTCTCTCTCTCTATCTCCTTCTCTCTCTTATCTCTCTCTCTCTCCCCTATCTCTCCCCTCTCACTCTCTCTAGCTCCCTCTCTCTTTCCCTACTCTCTACTCTCCCCCTCCTCTCTCTCTATCCTCCCTCCCTCCCCTCTCTCTCCCTCTCTCTATAGCTATCTCTATCTCCCTCTATCTTTCCCTTTCTCTATCTCAATCCCCCTCTCTCTCTATCTCTTCCTCTCTGTGCAATGAATGTCTTATAAAATTCCTTTTCCATCAAATTGAATAATCTGTAGTTGACCCATGAAGAACTAATTTGCTCACCGTAGCTTCTACCTCTGCAGATAACCTCCTGTAATGTTCAGAGTTGGTGTTCCGTAGTTGGTCTGTCAT